AGTCGAATTGTAATCAACGGTTAAATTTCGACCGAACTGATTGAGTCGAATTGTAACCAGATCATTACTATAGACCGCCGCCGGTTAAGAGTGTATAATTTTGGAACCGTAAGCCGTCGGCTTTGACGTTCAAAACTCATAGACATGTGTATTAATACTCCCAAATAATTTAAGAGGACATGTCTCATGTCTGATATTAATAGTCCGTTAGAACTTTATTTGAATGACTTATTCAATGCATTATTTCCTTAGGGTTTCTAACAATGTTTGAGGTGTGATTGTAATTATCGATACTACAGGACGTTAAAGTTATTTTAGCATACCTCAGGGGTAAACGTGTAATTTATTACCCTATAAATAATTCAAGATCGGCAATAATTAATCAATTACAAATTATGAAGGGCTTTTCTTCCTCTTTCGTACAAAAATATTCTCAGATTAATTCATCATCTGTGAGAATTAATGAAAAACATAATAGAATTAGTATTTCTCATCGGACACGTGTCATCGTCTTCACCGCCGCAAAGAGAAGAATATTCCTCCGATCAAGAAAGTTTGCAGATTCAGACAGTGGTACTTGTCCAAAGAAATCACTACTCACAAATATCTTCAAATGGTTGGATGATTTCATCTGCGATTTCATTGACCCGCCGCTCCGCCCCTGCGTTGACCCTAAACATGTACTCTCCGGCAACTTCGCCGCCGTGGAGGAGCTTCCCCCCACCGCATGCACGGTGGTCCATGGCTCACTTCCGCCGTGCCTGAACGGCGCCTACATACGCAACGGCCCGAACCCACAGTTCTTCCCACGTGGGCCCTACCACCTCTTCGACGGCGACGGCATGCTCCACTCGATCAGAATCTCCGGCGGCGAAGCCGTGTTCTGCAGCCGCTTCGTCAGGACTTACAAGTACGGTCTAGAGAGAGAAAGTGGTTCCCCGGTGATACTCAACGTCTTCTCCGCCTTCAACGGCGGCCTCCTCTCCTCCCTGTCGCGCTGCGTTTTGGCTTCTGGCCGAGCTCTCGCCGGAGAATTCGACCCCCGCCGCGGCATTGGGGTGGCGAACACCAGCGTGGCGCTGTTCGCCGGAAAACTCTTCGCCCTCGGCGAATCCGATCTTCCTTACTCAGTGAAACTAACACCCGACGGAGATATAATCACCCTCGGCCGCCACGTGTCGTTCGGCGAGCCGTACATGACGATGACGGCCCACCCGAAAATCGCGGCGGATTCCGGCGAGGCCTTCGCTTTCCGGCACAGCATCACCCACCCATTCCTCACATACTTCAGAATCAAGCCCGACGGAATCAAGCAGCCGGAAGTTCCCATACACTCGCTGAAGCAAGCTTCGTTGGTCCACGATTTCGCCGTCACGGAAAACTACGCCGTCTTCTCCGACTCGCAGATCGCGATAAAGCCGGCGGAGATTCTGCGCGGGAAGGCGCCGATCGGAGTTGATCCGAAGAAAGTGCCGAGGCTGGGGATTATCCGGCGGTACGCGGTGGATGAGAGTGAAATGTGGTGGGTGGAGGCGCCGGGGTTCAATATGATCCACGCCGTCAACGCGTGGGAGGAAGACGGCGGCGACACGGTGGTGATGGTGGCGCCGAATATATTGGGGGTGGAGAATGTGTTGGAGCGGCTAGATTTGATACAGACTTCCATGGAAAGGATTGAGATCAATGTGAAGACGAAGAAGATGAACAGGAAATCTGTTTGCAGTGGGAATCTTGATTTTGCAGTCATCAATTCTGCTTATGTTGGGAAGAAGAACAGGTACAGTCATTAATTAATTAATTAATTAAATCACTTAAATTCTTTTTATTATTTATTGCTTTTATTTAATATTTAAGTTGGTATATATTTCCAATTTCAAGAAGAAAAAAAAAAAAGGATATACAAAATTCGTAATATTTGAAATCAGAAATAAGAAATATTGTTTCAAAATTTTAAATGAAAAAAAAAATCCATCATTGGAAAGTTATATTCTAATTGTCGCCCTTAATACACTTAATGAAGTGTTAAATGTTGTTTTAATTTTATTATTCTAATTTTTGACATGTTTCTGGTTCGATTTTGGTAAAATGTGAAACATGAAAAACGTAGTCCTTTGGATTAGCTTTTTGATCCAACTTAAATCAGTTAGATTGGATGTCGTGCAACAAAATTATGCATGAATGCATTATATTTTGAATTTTAGATAGTTCAAAAGATTAATGTTGTGAGCAGTATTCATTGATTCATGTATATTTTTTTTCCTCCGACATCCAATTTTTGTGATTCCATTTGAATTAGAGAGCTAACTCAAAAAAACTACAAATTATATGGTTCGAGTTTTGCAAATTTTTTTGAATAAAAAATATTAACAATCGCGTTTAAATTCGAAACTGTATTATTAAAGCTCGAACGATATGTGCTACTTAAAGTAAAAGGAAAGAGACGTTTTAACTTCATGTACATTTGCCTTTGCGTGCAATCAACATGAATTGTGTATAATACAAAAAGTAAGTGTCGTTTTGATTTTTTGACATGATGGTCACTTATATTAAATAAACTAGTTTAATTAAAATACCATGCTCATTAATTTTATTTTTATTTCCACTAATTAATTATCTCTCAACTAATCTAGGATAATGAGTGTAAAAAAATTAAGAAAATAATTATTAATCCATTGTTGAAATTCTAGTAACACCATTTAATATGGAAAAAAATATGAAAATTATTTTGAAAAGACACTCAATTTGTCACCTTCAAGAATGACCAATTAATTAATTAATATTATACTGTTGCATTTTAATTAATTAATTAATGCCACGTGGATATTGATTTCACAATAATATTACAGATACGTGTACGCAGCAATAGGTGACCCAATGCCAAAGACAGTAGGGGTGGTCAAGATAGACCTCTCACTTTCGACGACGGTCAACTCCGGCGATTGCACGGTGGCAAGACACCTATTTCCGCCAGGCTGTTACGGCGGCGAACCGTTTTTCGTGCCAAAAGCGGCGGCGGCGGAGGAGGATGATGGGTATCTAGTGAGCTATGTGCATGATGAAAATAGAAATGAATCAAAGTTTATAGTAATGGATGCAAAATCACCTAATCTTGAAATTGTTGCTTCTGTTAAACTTCCCCAAAGGGTTCCTTATGGATTCCATGGAATCTTTGTCCCCCAATGTGAACTAGAAAGACTATATGATAATTAATTTCTCCATTTTTTAAATTTAGTTTTTCTTCTTTGATTTGGTAAATAAATTTTATTGAGATATATGTAGATATTTTTTTTAATTTTTATAATGAAGGTAATCGCAACCAACCATATAATATATTTATAATATATTTAGATATTTTTTATGTTTGGTTAGGGGTGTAAATCGTACGGGTCGGATCAGATACGATCCAAAGTTCCGAATTTTCGAATTTTTTCGATTCGATACGATTCCATTTTTTCGGAAGTGAAAAAATAATTCCAAAAGAATCGGAAAAAATCAAAAATCGGAATTTTGAAAACTGGAACGAAAAAACTTGTTTCAAAATTGAAAAAATTGGGATCGGAATCGGCGGTGTAAATTTCCAATTTCTAGTCACCTTAAAAATAAAATACATAATGTTGGTATTTTAAGTGTAATATTCGGGTAAAAAAACCCGGAATTTTTGGAACTTAAATCGCGGAAATCGTAATCTTTTATAAATTCCAATTCGGATCCAAATAATTTCGGAGAAATCGGAAGTCGGAATTTCAGAATTCGAATTGAAAAATATTATACCAAAATCGAAAAATTTCATACCAAAATCGGCAGAATTCGAAAATTCCGTTCCAATTTCCATCGTACGCTTGGTGTACGTTGTCAAAATAGAGTATATATATAAGTTGTGTATTAACACTTTAATTACTTTCATAACGTGAAAAAATTAAACCTTAATATTTATAGTTGAAGTTTTCGAATAAGTTTGTTGTTTGCAATTAAAGAGAGACGACACAGTCGCCATTTTTTTAATAGAAACTTTGGAGGGATTTTAATAAAAAAAAAATTGAATTGGATTTTCCTTTTAACGAGTGGGTTACAATATGTTCACAATAATGAACCGTCAATTATTACAATATGTAAAATGAGAAGTGACCCGTGAAATATTTCCCCCAATAACCCATCAATTGTAATTGTACAATTGATATGTTTAGTGACCAATTTTGTCCAATATCCCATCAATTACCAACACCACATAATTATTTGTCACTATTCTACCTTTGTAATATATATATTGAACATGAACTCAAGTAAGTACAGATGAATTACATAATTATATTTGTAGCTTTGCACTTGCAGTATTTGAAATAAGTACGGTGGAATTTTACCCTTATTAATTTACCTTTACTTATTAATTTTCTTATCAATTATCTGATAAAGGTTATTTTAGTCATTTTTATGTTTTTTTTTTTTTTTTTTTACCTAAAATCAATTTACACTTGTTAAGATTTCTATTTGCATTTCTGAATGACAATTATTAAGAAATGGAAAGAGTAGTATACTATTCTCACAACTTTAAGATTTATAACTTCTTTTACATTGTTGTGATGTAATTACATTCTTGCACATATATATGTACTATTTATAATATCTTATATCTGGTGGTGAAATACACCGAGTAAATTCTAACATTTTATTTGTGTGCACAATCGTAAACATATACAGGCGTGTGTGCATAAAATATATATGTATATATACATATGTACGATAGAATATAATCGGTGTAGTTCACCAGGTGTAGATAGCATATATATAAAGTATATATATGTAGAGCCAATTCGCACCCGAGAAATTTATACGGATTTTTCTCATAGCTTGTTAAGGTTACTTTCTCTAACGAAGAGACCGTGGAAGCCGTACGGGACCCGACGGGGCAGCCTCACGGCGGCAACGGTCTCGAGATTAGGTGACTTTGCATCCATTACTAAAAACCTCGACTCTCCGGTATTTTCATCGTGCGTATAAACGACCACATAGCCGTCATCCTCGTCGGCGTTTGGATTTTCCGGCTGCCTCGCCACGAAGAAGGGTTCTCCGGCGAAGCAACCGTCGCCGAACATCCGGCTTGCCACTATGCAGTCGCGACGGTCGTTCTCCGATACCGACACGTCGAGCTTGACTATCCCCGATATTTTCGGCATTGGGTCCCCCACTGCTGCGTAAACATACCTGGAGGGGTACCGAACAAATTTAATTAATTAATTAATTACAGGGAAATTTAAATTAGTAATTGAATTGAATTTAAAGAGGGAAACTATTTTTTTATATTTTATTTAAAAATATTTAAATTCAAAAATTTTAAAACTAATTAATACGTACTTGTGCTTTTTTCCGACGAAGGCCGGATTAATCACCGTGAAATCCAAATTCCGGGTGGAGATCGGGTGGCGCGCCACCGTGCCGGTCTTGAGGTCAATCGTCACCTTCTCGATCGACGCGTGTACTAATCCATCCTCTCCAGGGTGTGCTCCACCGACAGTATATTCGCGCCACCATACCACCGATCCCGCCGTCCTCATCCACGCGCTGACCGCGTGCACCATGTTGAACCCGCACCTCGAACCACCGCATTTCCGACTCGTC